TGTTGCAAGCTCTTCTTCAAACCATTCTTACAAACGCTTTCATAAACTGACGGAGTCCGACACGTTTCATCCTGTTGATGTTAAACTACCTCCAGATTTCTGCCGCTGGTCTCCATTTATGAGCGATTAGCTCAGCTGACATCTGGCTAATGACAGCGGGCTGAGTTATTAAACCGCCAACACGACTATCTGACAGTTACATCGTACGCTGGCTTACTTCAGGTTTGCGTTCCAAGGTGACGACGGACAGCTCGTTCGGTGTGTTCAGACTCCGCAGTGTAGCGGACTTGAAAAAAACCTCTCCTACGCTGCCTCTGATTGGCTGTTGGGTCGAGACAGTAGCAGTGACGATTGGTTAGGCAGAGCCAGAGTATATCGTGCTGAGTATATACATTTATGATACACAGTCTGTGGAGTGGACTCTGTAGGTAACGGGTAATGTTGTCTTAGCTGCGAACGACCCCCCCCCCCTGTACAGGTTCCCGTGTAAACTGGAAGGAAACTAATGCACTGAAATGAGGACGGGATTCTAAACCCTGCGACAGCTCGTCTTTAGAAAGAGCTCAACTCTTTGGCAGAAGGACGATATAATGTTCATTTACTGATGTGAACCAGCCTTGCAGACAGCAGCTGCTGCAGCTGACGCCATAATCACAACAACACAGTGGCAACGATCTGCAAACCAGTCAGCGTTCACATCAACGACCATAAACTGACATAAATTAGAACGGGGCCCCGTTTAAGATTTTGTCCCAGGGTACCTCATCAAGTAGGCATCTGTTCTGTCATTGTGTCACTTCTGGGATGGAATTATAATAAATGATTCCCCTTCTTGATGGGGACCCTTGGAACACCCTCAAGGACCCCTGGGGGTCCCTGGACCCCACTTTGACAACTAGTGATGTGAAGTTCTTTGGTGCCCTAAACCTCTTCAGTCAAAGCTTAGTTAAAGTTTAGGTCCACGTCTGGGCGGCGCCACGCTGTAAACACACATCTGGCGTGTTAGATCTAACAAAGAGTTTCTGTTCTATCGGACAGGAGTTAGCGATGACCACCATCTCACAGTGCAGGACTGTTGGCTCATTCAGACCAACTCACCGTTAGCATTAGCATTAGCCTCGCTCTGCAGCGGCAGCAGCACACACTCGGGTCGGCGGCGGCGTTCTACAAAAGAGAAAACAGGGCCGGTGTTCAGTGTGTTCAGGTCTCAGGAGGAGCTCTGCTATAGCATGCTGTCACTCACTGACCCTGTAAACCAGCATGTAGGTCTGCTCTGTGGGGGGGCGCTCGCCGCCGCCGTCACCTGAAACACAGGAAACACTCGGTGACATCACAGCTTCAGATCATCATACGACTGTAGCAAATCAGACTGACCCAGATCCTGGTTTGGGTCTCTAGAGTCCCTGTGTGAAAGGGGCTTTGTGTCACCTTCTGTGGTCTCAGGTGGATCCTTCAGGTCTCTCTGCACGGCCGCCTCCTCGACCATCTTCAGGATTTTATCCACAGCTTCAACACACAGAGCGTCGACCAGAGCGCCGAGCTTCTCCTGAGACGACCACAACAACCATCACTTAGTCAGCAAACCAAACTCCATTCAGATATCGGTACGTTTAACGGTGGTGAGGCGAACACTTCAGCCCCTTTAACCAACAGACTGTAAAACTTTAGTGGTACAACGTAAAGATTAAGTCAAGTTTACAACATGCTGCTCATCACACGCAGCAGGCAGGAGGGCGTTTCCACGAGTAACCGGGTCTCAAAGGTTTTTAACACAACTTCACTCAGATAAACATTTATTATATAGATTATTAAGTTATTTAATGTGGCTGTGACGGCACTTTGACCAAATTAAGACGACTTCACCAATATTATACTGTATTATTTTTTAAAATATCAGTTTCATGTAGGGCTGCGAGCAACGATTACTTTGTTTATCAATGAATCTGTTGTTTTTCTATTAACAGAAGTTTTAAATCATTTTAATCTATAAAAGGACACAAACAGTAAAATAAAACATCTTCAAATGTCCTGTTTTGTCCAACAATCAAAACCCCACTTGTTTTAAGATAATTTATTTATAAATAGTGTGAAAGAGAAAAGGAACATTCCCATTGGACAGACTGCATTAGATACAAGGATACTGTCTCCTAGTGCTGCTCTGGTGGGAACTGTTGGGCTTCTGTAAATAGAGTTCGGTCTAGACCTGCTCTTTATAAATAAAACTGAATTGAATACTGATCAGAGCTTCTGCCTGAAAGTGACTCAAACTGATTTTATATTGATTAGCTGCACACACTCTGATGTTGGTAGATTTCAGCGTGTTGAAGCTGCCATGTCTGAAGCTGCAGGCCCTGCAGGCAGCAGCTTCGCACTGACAGAAGGCGAGCGGCTGGAACAAAAATACTTTTGTCTCTTTTAATTCACCGAACTAAGTTTATAATCTAGAACAACTGACTGTTAACTGAAAACGCTTAAAGAGAAGATTTTTAGATGGAGTTTGGTGTAAGTCTGAGCGCTCCGGAAGCCCCTGGAACCGAAACGGTTAACGTAGCGTTAGCCGTTACTCCAGTTAGCCGTTACTCCAGTTAGCCGTTAGCTCCAGTTAGCCGTTAGCTTACCTCCGCTTCGGGACTCTGTTTGTTCAGAGAGACTTTCTCCGCCGCGGTAAGAACTCCGTCAGCACCGCCTTGGCGAGGTTATTCACGACGAGCGTGACCTCGTTTTTAAAACTCACTAAATCCGCCATGTTAACGACTCGTGTACTTAGCAGCCTGTTAGCTTAGCAACCAAACCGGCTAATGCGACACAGGAAGTGACGCGGTGTCTTGTCCCACGGCTAATGGCTTACTTCCGCTTACGCCCGCTGTTGGAACTTTAGTTTTTGTCCCACAAGAAAAAATGGACCGACTCCAAACCACAATTTGGACATTTCCTCCAAAAACTGCATCAATATAGAGACGATGAAAAACATTAAGAACAAGAAGGCAGTCAAGACTATAACTGTGACAAAGTTGATATTTTATTTTGAATCCACGTTACTCTTTTTATTCCTTCCTTTGTTTTAATTTATGTAGTTTCTCTTCTTATATTGATTGTTTTGTGTTTATAATTTCAATAAATATCTGAAAAAAACTTTTTATATTGTTTTTCATTTTTTAAATGTCTTTTACATTTTTTTTGTATTAATAAAATTGGACAAACGTGGAGAAAACATTTGGGCCAAAAAGCTAACGTTTATTAGTAAAACTTGTTTTTAAAATTTATTTAAAAAAATAAATTATGACTTTATCTGTCTTATTATTAAATAATTGTGATCCATCTTTATTTTAGTAATTATTAAACTTAATATATTATACTACAATTTCAGACATCTAATTGTAAAGTAAGACTGAGATATATCTTAAATACCGTTCCTACTGACTACAACTAAATCTGCCAAAGTAAACAAATGAAGTTATAAATTTGATTTGATATTAATCAACGAAAAGCAAAGAGTTATGATTCAAATTCCAAGTCCAGTTTGCACATTAATTTCATTCAAATTACGTTGCATATTTTTTCAGTCAAATTAAAAGTCAACATTTATTACGGCAGTACGCAAAATAATTAGTTGTCAGTTTAGTTTTCATTTTCAGCAGTAATAAAACATTTTCAAATATGAAAAGGAAAATGGGACCTCTGTATGTGTATAATGTTCTCTAACTAACGTCTAAACCGAACTAAGTCTTCCTGAAAAATCTGAATTTTGGGGAAACGGAGTGTTCAATGTGTTATAAAGTTTAATTAGTGCTCATTCATTGTGATGAATCAAATGTTAATTAAATGTAAATGTAAAACTGCCTTGAATGACCAAAAATAGACCCCAGTGATTCCAAAAATACTTTGTTTTTTATTCCCCAACCTGCTGAACCTGCTTCTGTACATACACGTGATAATAATAAACAGCCTTTTTTTAAATAATACGTTTAAATTACATTCATTCAGGCAGTTTGACAGACAGTCAAACTATAAAACACACAGAAACAAACAGGAATCACACATTCTTAAATAGCCTCTTCTTTTCCAAAAAAACAAGGATATAAAACATACTCTCAGTACAATATAATGATAAACACACAGACAGAGACATTTACATCCTCCTCAAACAGTTCACACGTCTTTTAGAAAAGACTCAGTCCGATTCCTCAAGGTCGATCTGATTGTGGCGGCGTTTCCACGTCACGATAGCTTGTTTGCATCCTGGGAGCACAGAGCGTTTTCTAGCAGACGTAAATTTATAAATAGATTGTGCATCATTGTTTAAAAATCCCTGGATAAAAAAATCATAAAAGTACTTTTTTCCCAAAACTACCATCAGCCTGAAACGTCCTGATGGTCGTTAGCTTGCTAACACGCTAATCAATCTTTGACAACTACCAGTTAATACTTGTTATCATATTGCCACAGATATCCCAGCACACATATTACATTTTACATTATTAATGTTTGTTAGCGTGATAAAAATATTACCCACAGGCTACTAGCTTAGCATACTAGCATTTACTAGCATGTTAGGAACAGTATTATATTATTAACAATAATATTATACCTGTAAAAGTTTGTTACATTGTAAAATGATAACCGTGAGCTAATATTTTAGCATGCTAACATATCTTATTATATTAAAAATAAAATGGTAGTCCAAAATAGAGATTTTTAGTGTAATACTACTTAAATTAAACGATTAATTGAATTGACTGTAAATTATTAGTATGTTTTGTTAGCATCATAGAATATTGTAGTAAGTGATTTCACATCCTCATGTTGCAACAACATTGCTAACACAGTTTATATTTATCAGCACATTAGTTAATGAATTATTGATGCTAACATTTATTAGCATGCTAAAATATTAGTTCTCTAATGTTACATTTTAAATTAACTGCAAACTTTGTAAGCATATTAAAACATTAGCCAAAGGCTAGCTAGCATTAAGCTATTCATCCTTAAAGCTTTATGTGGTAATTTGCATAGTAACAATTGACGTCACGGCTGTTTGCTCATTGGCTGTTCTTGTGATCCCTGAAAGAAGAGCCAATCACGTCCCTGCGCTCCTACTGCCATCACTGAACAGTTGCCACCGTGTTTGACTCCTCCAACCTTCAGCTGTGTTCGTCCGACTCACAGCCGCTCTGCCGCCGGGGCGAGGAGGCGGACCTTATCGAGCCTCCGGCCTCCTGTTGCTGCTGTTTGGAGGAGCTGGAGAGGTCGATGGCCACCTCCTCCTCCACCTCCTCATCCTCCATCTCCAGCAGCTCTTCCTCTTCCTCCCCAACCTCATGTGCTGGCTCAGAGCGACGGGGCGGCAGTGGCGAGCCTCGGGGGGCGTCGCAGAACGAGTCGCCGCGGGTTGAGTCTGACTGTGGAGGGCTTGAACACTTTTTGGACATCTCTATGGACTTCTTGTGCATTCCTGTGAGGACAGATTCAGTTCAGTCTGATTCAGAAACATTATTATTATTATTTTTAAAAATGTGCTGAAGAGATTCTAGAAGTGGCTAATGTCATAAAGGCTAACTCCCCCCTAAACTAAATCAGGTTGCACCACTAAAACGTCTCAGCCAGTGAAGACTTTAATGGTGTGTAAATCTGTCCAGTCAAGAGCAACCAACCAACTATGTAAACAGGAAGTCATTGTAGCGTCATGAGCTAGCATAGCTTCCAAACATGACAGTTTTAGAGGCTAAAAGATAAAACTTTGTTTAATCTTATTTCTGTCTGTATACACGAAGAGAAATCTGTGTTTCAGAGTTCATACAGTTTATAATGAGAGGGAAATACCTGATTATGCTAAGCTAACTGTTGTTAGCCACACAGTAACTTTTTTAAAATTTTACTGAAATGTGATCTTCAGCACTTATCTTCATATAACTTGTTTTACTCCAAACGGCTCAGATATTAGCATGCTAACGTTAGCTAACAACAGCTCCACCTGCATTTAGAGGACGTAAATATTTATAACAACTAATCTCCACCTGAGAAATATTTAGGGATCTGCAGCCTGGTTTACTGAAGTGATGATGAAACTAAACTCAGTAATGCTGATGTCTGCTGGTACTGACTGCTGATCACTTTCATCTTAATTATGATATATGATAAATATATAGGCCTACCCAAACTCCCCTTACAGATTTCTTCTAGCTGTGACACAGGTGTGTCTGATGAAGATGTTGGTGTTGTTTAAGCTGCGGCGTGTGTTAGGCGTGCGTTCGGCGTGTGTTCAGTGTGTGGATGCGTGGTGTGGTGCATGTGCGTGGCACTGACGTGTATGCGGCTCACCGAGCAGCCAGGGCGCGCAGGATCCCATCATGCCGTTCTTGGCGGAGTTGAGGATGGACTCCGGCAGCGGGATGGAGTGACGCACCATCGCGCCGTACAAGCCGTACTCCGCCATGACGCTGCTGCGACCCCAACACTTCTCACGCTTTCGCCACTTCGCACGCCGGTTCTGGAACCACACCTGGAATAAAATGTGATAACATATAAAATCTCATAACCAGGCCTGGAAAAAAAGTTTAATCCGTCTGTAAGTGAGTTTTTCTTTTGTCCCTCCCAGAAATCATCCTATGACCCATCAAGTGTCTCTGTTGACCCACTGGAGGGTTCCTGAGCCCCATGTTGGGAACCACTTCCAACATATTTGGGAAAACCATTTAGTGGCAAGTCAGTGTAGTTTTTAGGAGACATTTGTTGTTTTGAAACTTTCTTTTTTCCCCAGGAAGTTTTTGTTTATTTAAAAATTTGAATAAAAAATAGGATTAAGAAACCAAATTAAACTTTTATTATGTTTTTATGAAGAGTCTGGTGTGTAAATCTCTGGTCAGCTGTGTACTGACGATGTCCCACCTGTATTCTGTCCTCGGGCAGCTCCGTCTTCATGGCCAGCATCTCTCGGGCGTAGACGTCGGGGTAATGAGCTTCGTGGAAAGCTTTCTCCAGCTCCTCCAGCTGGTGGGACGTGAACACCGTCCTGCAGGAAACAGCAGCGTGAGACCGACAGGAAGTAGCACGCTGACCTTTAACTGCAGAAATATCTTCTCCCTTCAAACTTTATGTAATAAACATAGCTGCAGATTCACTGGTTTAAAATGTCATTTTATTTCCTCAAACTCTAAAACACGTTTACATTTCTTCAACACAATTATTGTTTGTTAGTGTGACTTTATTTAAAACCAAAGTTTAACTTAAAACAAACATTTAATTATATATTTTTGAAGTGTTTGTTATTTATTCCATCTTCATCTTCCATCTGTGTTTCTTTTCGCCTTTAATGATACTTTCTCACTTGCTTTTATTACTATTATAATATTATTATATAACATTTTTATTATTATTTCTATTTCTTAAATGCATTGATTAAAAGTCAACAACAATTTTGATCCGGGATCAATAAAGTATTTCTGATTCTGATTCAGTTAAAATATTTTCATATTAAGAAATTTCTTACTATAAAAAATTGAGTGATCAGAAATAAAATGTTTATAAATCCAGAAACAATAAATGAATATCGTGTAAGGCAGCAGGTGATCGATCGGCCTCACCTGTGCCGCCTCTTCTTCCTCTTCTGAGAGCTCGCGGAGCTTTTGGAGTCGTTGCGGTCGGAGAGACATTCTTCATCTGCGGGAGGACAAAC